TATTAACAATAACCAACTCTTAACAACCAAAACCCAAAATAACATCATCAAATAAGAGTTGATAGTCAGTCAGTTCAAGTGCTAACTCAAGGCAGCTTAACCATCAGGGTGATCTGTCCGTTCAGTCATTATACTAGTTAGGATGAATATTTATCCGTACCACAAATCAGCTGCTGTTTAGATTGCTGGAGCTCAGTCTTAAAAAGCGCTTCAAAGGTTTTCAAATGCCAATGTCAAAGAAACATCTGGTGAAATGTGCACTGGACTCATTTTAATCTATGTGTATTTTTAAAGTAAATGTGCAAAGATCACTATTTATTTTCTTTAAACAGCTTATTAGCAGTTATATCCCCTGCTATCTGTGTTCATGGGCTCCCATAGGGCAGGAATGCCATCCTCATTCTATTTCTAGCACACTCCAGGTACTAAATAAATATTTAATGAAAAGATAACCAGTTCATCATCTAACTTCATGGGTGAGTCATATACGGAAGTAAAACTGCACATGAATTGCCAAGTGACAGAGGCAGAAAGCAAGGTAAAATTAAAGTTTCTAAATATCATGTTTATTGTTTGCCTCCAATTCATTTCAGTGAGAAACTATTTTTAAGTGTGACCAATATATTCTTTACTTACGTAGTATATCAAAAAGACCAAAACTTAAGTGATTTCAAAAAGACTACCAATGTAAAAGACATACCCTACACATGAGTATGACAGATAAATAATGTGTCTTATTCTTGTGAGGGCAGTTACTCCTATATAAATAAAGGCCATATCCTGAAAGGGGAGGTTCTTTGGGTTGCATGGTTTCACTTTTGTTTCATCTCTAGGTCATGCAATGTCCAGCACAAATGTGACAGAATATGTTCAGCCTTGTTCTGTGTGACCAGTTTTGATTATTTCAGAATGGCCTACCTAATCAGTGAATTACTTTAAGTTCTTTTCTTTTCTTCCCTGATCTTTAGCCATTATGGGACCAAATAACTTCATAGGGTACTCGAACAGGGAAAAACATCAAATAAGGTAGTATTGCTAGGGACTCTAGCAAGTCCTAGGATTAGGAAATGGGGCAAATATTTAAAATTTAGATACCAGCACATTTCAATCATCCATGTCAACTTGGATTAATATATTATGGAAAACTGCAATCTGGATCAGTACTGTACTTCAGTTTCTTCTTAAATCATACAGATTCTATATACTTTGAGTTCTCCAGCAGCCATACGGATAGTTTTAACTTCAGTTATCTTCAGCATCCATATGGATAATTTTAATGCTAATAGTCCCCCCACTGGGATGTCATTAACTTAAGAAATCATTTTTATTTGTATAGTTCAAAAAACAATGTATAGGCACATTTATTTCATTCAAGTCATAATCTGAACCTAAAATGCAAAGCAAAAGATTAACGTGCATTTAATATGTATTTCAAGTCTTTGTAACAGAGAAGAAAAATCATTACAAAATTTAGGAATGAGGCATCAAGTCACTAATGATAGAGCTGATTAGACAATGGTTTCCATGTTCCATCTAATGACATGGAACAATGTACATGTGACAATTTAGCCTTAAAGGGTTAAGTAGAATAAACTGTAGGCAGCCCCTTACACTCAACTGTCTCAGTATCAAGGACTCAAAGAATAGGTATTTTCCCTGTCAATGACAATATTGCAGTGCTAACACTTGCAGTTTAATATTGGATAAAAGCTAAGAAGTGATTTATCCTGACAGATTATAAAATACAAAATGTATTAGCTTCAAGAAGGATTAAACCTGTAAGAATTGGGACCCCTTTCTGTTTATAGACAGAAATATTCAACAGAAGAATAAATTTCCAATTTTAAATTTCTGGCCCACATACTCAAAACAAATGACCTAAACCTCATCAAGCTTTTATGAAAACTGATGGCATTACACACAAAATCCATCTATTTCCCCAGCATGTCCAATGAAACAAAAAAAAAGGTACAGAACACATGATGGAAGTAGAAGGGACAGACTCAGATTTGTGCTAAAATCTAGGCCAAAGACCCTTCTGATGCACACAGAGTAAGGTCAGCAAAAAATCTTCCACATATACTCTGGTTCATACACCATCTGTTTGGGTTTGGGGACTTTTTGTTCTTTAAGTACAGTAGCCTATACTTCCTAAGAAATATGATTAGACACATACATAACAGTAAAAATAATAAAATACAATTACTTAACTGAGGTATTTGGATTTATATTTAGAGGATGACAAAATGTTATTTGACAATGTATATAGTTATATTTAACTCAAAAAGGAAGACATGTTAATATAATTTATTATAAACTTCAACCCAATCAGTCTTAAATGTTTTTAACTCTATGACTAATAGAGTGTTAATTACTAAGTGTTAAGTGTTACCCTAGAATGCCACTTGATAGCCCTGCATTAATTCTGCTATACCAAAGACATACCTTTTTTAAAAAATAAAAATAAAAGCAACCATTTACACTTACTAAGAAAAACAAAAAATTTACTTCAAATTGTAGTATAGGCTTTTCAATCACAAAAAGAAAGAAAAGAACAGTGATCTGACAGTGGTCACATCCTGTGCAAAAAAACTTGATACAAAAATGGTAGCACATGGTATCTGAGATAGGAAAAAGGAAATACAGTAGCTGAAATATGGCACTCCTGGGAATTAACTTTTAAACCAAATAGAATGCCTCTGAAATTATTAAATTTGTGTATTAGTAAGAAAGCCCCACCACCATAAATAGTACAATATTTAAAAATAAAAAAAATATATCTATCTAAGATAGATAGTGTATTTATACTGTTAGACTTCTTTAAGTGCAGAAGGTGGTTCAGGTTTTGACTTTTTTATAATAACTGACCATATGCTTTATAAAGTTTCACTCAATCACAAAAGCCAATTTAAATCAAGGAATATGATACCAAAGTTGCATAATTTCATTTGGGACTGCCAGCAGGTTAAAGTCTTAAATCAAGTCTTTAACATTAATGTTCATTTTTAGTCAACGAATAGTTAAAAAGTTCTCAAATCTTCATATCCTCTTGAACTTGCCCTTCTAAATGATCCTCAGACTGCCATTCCTAGTTTGCAAATAAAATAATGCAATATGCATCATACTTCAAGAAAAGATGATGATGTCGAACTAACATGCTTCTGGATCTTTTCCCTGCTCCTTTCAACCTTCTTTATAATTTCTGCCACTATGCACACTGATGAGGTGAGACCCAAAAGAAACAACAGATCTGCAAGAGAAAATAAGTTGGGTTTTACATTTCTTTGAAATTTACAATTGCAAAGCTTAATATCTTACATTTTTCTAGCATTTTACCCTAGCCTTTTTTTTTAAGAGTCTTGCTCTGTTGCCCAGGATGGAGTGCAGTAGTGTGATCTCAGCTCACTGCAACCTCTGTCTCCCGGGTTTAAGTGATTCTCGTGCCTGAGCCTCCTGAGTGGCTGGGATTACAGGCATATACCACCATGCCTGGCTAATTTTTGTATTTTTTTAAAGTACAGATATTCACCATTTTGGACAGGCTGGTCTCACACTCCTGACCTTAAGTGATCTGCCTGCCTCTGCCTCACGAAGCACTGGGATGACAAACGTGAGCCATGGTGCCTGGCCACCACAGCTTTTAAATACATTATTTCACAACTATTTCATAAGGCAGGCACAATCACTCTCAGTTAAAAATAAAAAAAGGCAAACTCAAAGGTATTAAATGATTCATCCAAAGTCCTATCACTGGGAAAGGCAGCAGCCAGAATTAGAACCCAAGTCCTCTGACTATTTTCCCTGAAACCTTATGTGGCTTGCCTTTAACAGTAACACCAAAAAAAGGAGTTTTTTTTCATTTCATAGATTGCACAGTCCTTTAAAAAAGTACTGTCTCAGCAGTAGTCAATTTGAATGAAAATGCCTATGTGAAGATTAAAAATTTGACATTAATATGTTCTACTTCAAAGCACAGAAGACTCTTTACAATAGTATCCACTCAATTCTTATTTACTGCTTGAAAAATTGCAGATGTTTCCTTAAAATGACATTTTTTTAAAAAGGGGAAGCAATGTGAATATGGAATTAAAATACTAAAATTCAACTAGTTCAATTTTAAGGTAAATTTTAACTTATAGAAAACAATGCAGGGACACTGTAAAACTCATTTTCACAAATGCTCAAGAACTCAAGGACAGCATTACTGTTAAATACATTATTCCTCATAATTACATAGGAAAACTAATTTTTAAATGCACTGTATTACACATTTAATAAATGATAATGTAAGAATAATGTGTAATTTCCACATAGTCTTTATAAAACATTCTGCTATTCAGGACAGACATTTTGTGATACTAGACTGTACAAACAAGAAACAATAATAAAATTATTAGTTTAACTACTGAAAATTCTAACTTTAAAAAAGAGACCAACTTGGTTTTCAGGGAGATTAAGTCCAGTTTTTTCTTATTACAAGATGGCATAGTACCTTAAAAAGTTATGAACTGTAATTACTCTATATCAGGTTTTGATTTGCTATGTTTCAGAATCACAAAATATGATTTTTATAATAATTGATAATCTATAAAAAAGCAAAAACCAAAACCCTGGAGTTAGGAGAGTAACTCCCCTAAGCTTCACCAAATGAAAAAACAGAATCCTTTTTCAAATCAAGAGAGTTACTTTTCTTATTTTTCTATTTTAAAAGAATTTTAAAATTACAATACATTAGAAAATATGATTTTTCTAAAATAGATAAATGAGAAAGAGAACGTTTTCTTTACCCAGTATGCTTAGGCTCTCAGTCTGAAAAACCTTCTGAAGTGGAGGAAAGTAAATAACTAGTAATTGTCCCATGATGGATCCAAGAACTGCATAGCAAAACATTTTATTACTGCAGAGTCCAATCTCAAATACAGACTTGGTCTGTTGGCAGAGCAGAGAGTTCAATTATTACTCCTTAGTCACAAAAATAACTTCTTTATTATTATATTCACTTCTAATTTTTAATAAGCAGTATCACTTTAATTGAATTCTATAATGTCAATACTGTGAAATCTCAAATTTTACTACTGTTTTGGAATAATTCAGGTAAGAGTAAATATTAAAGTAGCACTATATAAATGAGACCACAGAAAGAAAAGAAAACTTTTAACATCCCAAACATCAAGAAACTTTATTTGTACTTTGCAAAATCATTTCTAGCCATTCACTAAGGTGGATAATCTAAAATCCTTTCTTGGAGAATGGACCTAATTATGTGTGTACTGAAAAAGTAAACCATTTTCACAAAAAAAAATAAGTATTACAGCTTCTTCAAAAAATAGTCAATTAGTGAGAATTCACTGTACTTAGAAGTTCTAGCATGGCAAATGGTAATATAGTTAAGGATTCATAAACTGCTTTAAAGCTGAAATGAATAGTCATGCCTCAAATGAAACTAGCTTTTAAGGACAATATGCTTAAAAAGTACCAGAAAACTCTAGTCCATTATTTCCTATCAAAACACTTAGACCAAGAAGCAGCAGTCACACCTTAAGATACAACAAGGGAAGTAAAGCAAATTAAAATGTTCTAAGCTTTGACACAATGACAGGAGTGATGGAAAAAAAATAGGCACAAAACTGCTCTTGCACTCCTAGCAATACTGTCTTCTAAAATGAGACTAATAACATCTTAACAGAACCTATGAGGTTTGTTCTATGCTCAGATAATGTTAACCATGATCTATCTTATAGCTGTATCCAGCTATACCCAGATGACAACAACTAGAAATTATTAATACTTTAATGTAGGAGTCAGACATAAAGCTTACCTCCTGCAAATGCCCCATCCTCATCGTGACCAACGGCACATGTTTATAAGAAGGCTGTGTCTGGGGCTGTAATCCGTGGCTACAAAATTAAGCAAAGCTAAAAACCCATAATCTTTGCCTACTTATTAGAAAGTACTCTACTCAAGTGAGGCAATCAACTAAGAGCACCTAAACATACCTGGGATCTGGAACTTAGTGCATTGAACATGTCAAAAAACACAAAGCATGTGAAGGTCATTGTTGTGTCTCGAGGTGTAATCACATTGTCTCGCAGCTGTTAAGAGGTAATAACAAAATTACTTTTCAGTGGCTGAATTTAATGGACAAATAGGATGGCTTTTTCAAAAACACATTTTCTTTCCATTAGGAAGAAACAGCTTTAGCATAACATGAAACATAAAAGCTACCTAAATTTTCTATAAATCACCTCGTGAAAAGTTGTAATCTACATAATAAAAAGTAAAAAAAAATCTTCTCATTAACTATATATTAGATATTAAAATACCATTATTATTTTAAAATAAACTGGCTATATGATAAACTCAGATTTCCTAACTTCTCTAAATTTTCAAGTATTTTTATTACATCTGATACTTCTCTGTAGATCTAATTATTCTAATACATGAATCGATTAATTTTATTTATCCATAAAGATAGAAATCAAACTCTTGTAAAATGTTACCATATTCTTCACTAAAAGAGCTCCCTTAATGTCCCAGACTTCTGAGTAATACATCAAAATAACTAAGAATCCTATCATATATATAGAATTCACGTTAATATAGCAGCTTGTCCAGTGAATATACCTCACGCCAGAAGACAAACAAAGTCCCGCAAACGATGATTATTGATGAAACAAGTATTTTAAGTATCAAATTTTTAGTTAAAATGCTGTCTTTCCAGTTGCGAGGAGGTTTACGAATGACATCTTTATCCACTGGTTCTACTCCAAGGCTTAAAAACAAACAGAAAAATAAATTACTTTCAGGTTTTAAGGTTTGGATTTGTTACTTCCACAACCTCACTAACCTCAAGGATCCAGCAAACTAAATGCTTTCTTATGGAAACAAAATGTTGAATCATAAAGAAAACCTTGGCTATGATTATGCAAAAATAACCACTGATTTTGTCACTTTTCTCTGCAATTCATTTGTTTGACACAGTTTGATAGGGCACAGATAATCAACTTTCAAAACAGTAACTCATTTACATCTAAGTTTACTTATTTCAAATATGGTATGAAATACATGACCTACTAACCAAATTTTGAAATATCTTTCATATAAAGAGGTTTTGACTAGGATGATTTGTTAGAGTGGCCAAATGACATCAACACTCAACTACCCCATTATTATTAAATTTTTTTAAAAAGTTAAGACTCAGGTCCTAACACTTTTCCAAAGTCTCTAAAACTGACAGCAGAACCTAGATAATAATACTGAATTCAGAAATTTCTCCATTATATCCAATTCTTATAAATAAAAACTTACTTCCTGAAGACAGAGACAGCACCTATTCCTGATCTATTCTCAGTCTTAGGCTAGGCATCTGACTGTGGAAAAGTCTCAGATCTATGCTGCATGCACACTCAAAAAGAATAAATGATATACACACATCACACAATTTATAACAAAAATGTTAAAACATTTGCGGCAAAATTTTCCAACGCTGTTCATAAATCAAGTTTTAAAACTTAATTATCAGGGTATCTGATAAAAAATTCATACCTCTGAGCTGGGGGGCCATCCATAATAATATTGATCCACAAAATCTGCATGGCATTGAGAGGATTAGGAAAGTTCATTAATGTAGCCAATGAGATTAAAGTTAATGCTGCTATGCTCCTGTTGAAAAAGAGAGTCATGTAAAAATATCAGCATAATAATCTATTGATTCTACAATACCACTTTTTTAGCATTTAAAAACCTCTTGTTAACTACTATCCTTTTAAAGTAAGACTCTATTGCAAGTAACTCATTCTTCATGCAGGTGGACATTTTAAATCTAAGAGTATTTTAACAACGGATTTTCAAGATGTTTAGACAACAGCAACAAATAAGTAATTTTTAAATCTGCATGATAGTTTCAACAATATTTTGTAACTGTTTTATGACTACACAATACCCTTCTACTTTTAAAAAAAGATGCCAAGAGGAAACAATGAGATATGAGTCATCCCTGACTTCATGAGCTATTAAATAAATCACAAAAGTGTATATATTTTGATGATGATACAGACATCTAATTGTAACATTTAGAACCTATTTTTTTAAATTTCAGAATACAATAAATTTTCTTTTTGGAAAACTGACATATGACCAATGCTCAGAAATATAAGGCAGAGAAATTTCTAGGCATTCTGCTAAAGTTTCACTTTTCATCTAATTTATCTAGAAAACCCATGGCGACAAATTTCTTGCAAACTTACGTGCTCAGCTGGAATCTAACAAAATTTTTAATGTTATTATAAATCCCTTTACCCTCTTCAATTGCAGACCTAAAATTTAAAAAAGATGAAGTGAGAAAATATTATCATATAAAAATATATCTGTACTAAAACACTGTGGAGTTAATTCTGAAAATGAATTTCTGGCTGGGCACTGTGGCTTGTGCCTGTAATCCCAGCGTTGGGAGGCCAAGGCAGGCAGATCACCTGAGGTCAGGAGTTCAAGACCAGCCTGGCCAACATGGCAAAACCCATCTCTACTAAAAATACAAAAAGCAGCCAGGTGTGGTGGTGCACGCCTGTAATTCCAGCTACTAGGGAGGCGGAGGCAAGAGAATTGCTTGAACCTGGGAGGCGGAGGTTGTGGTAAGCCGATATCACACCACTGCACTCCATCCTGGGCAACATAGTGAGACTCTGTCTCAAATAAATAAGTAAATAAAATTTCCAACTAATACAACACAAGTATCAATATGGAAATATTTATTTTAATAAATATTTATTTTAAAGTCAAGCCTAAGTTCTACCTGAACTAATTTGACACAGTATTAAAACTCTTATTCTGAAGAAGATTTTTCAACATTAAAATCACATGTTGTCTCTCCACACAAGAAAATAGCCTTTACTTCACATTCATCATAAATAAAATGATTATCTTTTTTTTTTTTTTTTTTTTGGAGACAGGGTCTTGCTCTGCTGTCCAGGCTGGAGTGCAATGGCACAATCTTGGCTTACTACAGCCTCAACCTTCCAGGCTCCCGCAACCCTCCCACCTCAGCCTCTGGAGTAGTTGAGACCAGAGGCGCACATCACCATTCCTAGCTATTTTTTTTTTATTGTTTGTATACATGGGTTTTGACACGTTGCCGAGGCCTGTCTCAAATACCTGGGCTCAAGTGATTCACCCACCTTCGCCTCCCAAAGTGTTGGCATTGCAGGCGTGAGTTACCATGCCCAGCCATGATTATCTTCTTCACCTTCCTCTAGGCTCATTTTTCTTAGAGGTACAAGATGTAGCACAAAAGTTTAAAATAATGCATGTTAGGAATCAAGTAGCAATGAGATACATGAGTTATAGAATTTAAGCTATGTGTTGCTCCTACACATCAAGTTGATCACATGTTGCAGAGGAATTACATAAAGAACATGGTTTACAAGGATTCATATAAATTGTCTCATTCATTTAGCTGAATCTAGGAAGATCTATGTTTTTTTTGATCAAGTTCCTATTATGTTCTAAGATTTCTATATAATTCTAATAATGGAAAGAAAAAAACTCATATCCTTGCAAAAGCTTGGTAAATACTCTGAGTCCTGAGATCCCAAACGTTTCCCTGTAGGCCAAAACGAAGTAATAAAGCAGCCTGGAACATATAATTAGAATTTATCACTAAACTCAGGTCATATAACCGGTAGCTACCAAAAAAAATAAATGAGATTCACATGATCACCACCGGAACATTGTGAGACTGACACCACCATGTATTCACTGGAGTCTTAAATCAATTGGAAACCGTGGCTGAAACAAATAAGCTATTTAAATTTAACAAATTGTAACACTAATGAGAGCAACATGAATAATTACTGATAGAAAAAAAAAACAGGTATAGATGTGAACTTCATAATTTTCAATATTTATTAAAAGGCCACAATGCATATTTCTAACTAACTGAATTTAACTAAAATATGCTAAACTAAAGGCATATGCATATGCCTAACTGAAATAACGGTCACTGCTATACCATCACATTGGGGCCCAGAAAAAGATGACATGTGGCTGGCACTTGGCAAACATTTCTTAAATGATGGTCCTGCCATTAACTATGCCTGTTCTAGCCACACAAATCATTTTTTCAGAACTACACAATAGACCATAAAATAGGATAATTAACCTAGAAATATGGTTTAGTTTACCTAATGTTTAAATACTGCTAATTCTTTTCCAGTTGAATTCTCTGGGGATGGGGGACAGGAAAAGATAGAGAAAGATTCTCTGATATTTACTGCATTTACTGAAACAAAACTTACATTATGGTTTGAAAATCATCATCCACTAAGATCATGTCTGCTGCTTCTTTGCAAACATCTGTACCAGTCTGGCCCATCGCGACTCCAATGTCTGCAGCCTTCAGAGCAACTGCATCATTTACTCCATCGCCTGTCATGGCTACAACTGAACCGTTCTTCTGTAGAGACTAGAATGGGGCAGAGGACAGGGGAGAAGAAGGAATTCTGATAAAAATGTGGTTTCCATAAACAAATCCTCCCAAAATTTTTTCACATAATTAAGATTAGAAATAATATAGACCATCCACTTTCCAATAAACTTCAACAAATGGAGATCTCAATAAGATAAAGCTTAGAAAAAGTTGCTACTAATATTCCTATCTGTGAGAAGTGTATCTCTAAAGTCTGTTCATCAAACAACTATACAGTGATTCTCAACCAGGGGCAATTTTGCCTCCCAAGTGACATCTGACAATATTTGGAGACATTTTTGATTGTCATGATTTGGTGGATGTCACTAGCATCTAGCGACAACAGGCCAGGAATGCTGCTGAACATTCTATAACACAGGGGGCGGGCCTTCTCAACAAGGAATTATCCAGTCCAAAATGTCAATAATGCCAAGGTTGAGAAACTCTGAACTACACACTGGCTGGCTATCATGATTAATAACTTAAGTCCATTAACTACTGGATACTGTATTAGTCACTTTATATATATTTCACTAATTCATATAAATAATCATAGCCTTTTAAGTATTGTTTACACTATCATTAACACTATTTGTCTTGCTATATTTATTTAGTTTCTAACTAATCGCTGCTATTCACACTGGGATGATTTGGCTACGGACCCCAGTCAGAACATTCTTTTATATTTTCTGCTTAAAGAAGGCTATGTTTGCAGATACTTCATTCAAGTTTTCTTCTACAACTTCTTATACCAACTAAATTCTCTATTAGTGTTTCTATGTCAAGCTCTTACAAAAAAAAAACAAAAAAACAACTGTTTTGCTTCACAGTACTTCTGACCTTGATGCTCTACTCCTTGTAATGCAAACATAAAGTAGGAGCATTTTGTATCCAGAACTAAAACAATCTGATTCTTAAACACTCACCTTAATAATTTTCATCTTGTGCCTTGGGCTAGCTCTATAAAATACCGCAACCTGTTAAAATACAAGATACACTAATAATCTTCAATATTATGATTTCCACAGAATAACCCATGCATTTATAACAAATGATGAAAGACTGATCCATTTAAGCTGTATTTAATTTGCCACTGAGATCAAGCTTAAGCAATATGCCATGTTTGTTAAGACATTCATTTAACATAGTCACTTCAATCTTTACCAAAGGTACCACAGGAAATACAGAATCTAAACAAGTCATCCAGTTTATAACACTATGTGTAAACTATGAAGAGAAAACTGCCTTATTCTTGAAATGTTCCAGAGACAGAAAAAGGAAGAACTCTCTTGCATCTGTTTCCTACTACACTCGTATAAAACTAAAATAGCCTTTTCCCTTTGTTCTGTCTTCAGAAGTGATAAAAAAAAAAAAACAGCTGCTTCTCAGTGTCTGTAGAGCATTTTTTACAGTGTCAAGTGTCTGCTCATTCTTTTACTCAGGTTAACTCGTTAGCCTCTCTTTCACTGTACCTCTAAATTGCTTATATGATTTTTTCTCTCCAAAATACATATTTAATCCTCTTTTCAGACCCCATCTCCTGAAATCCTTTCACTGTGTCCCAACAAATCTCCTGTATTTCTGATTCTTTTTCATTTTGCTCTAACCTAGTGTTTTCACAAACACTGCCCCACACAAATAGTACCACTGGGGGAGCCTAGAAGTGGAGCACGGTATCCTCTATTCGCCCTTCATGAAACCACAGTTTTGAATGTCAGATGAGACTACACTTGTCACTAACCGCGGCATTCACTGCTCCAGAGTTCAGGACCCCTCATTTCACAATGATTTTAACTTCTGCCTCATTGTCATGTCACTTTCTCCAACAATATTTACAAGTTACGGTGATTTCAATACACATAATACAGCATTATTTTCCCTCCTCTCCTAGAGGATTAGTTCATGTTAGTTTTCTCTCCTTTTATCTCCAATCTATCCCCTTTCTCCAGCCTCCTTCTCAGCCAACCACCTTGCTTCCTACTTTGGAGCAATCAGATTCAGAAAAGAATTTCCACAATTCCTCCCACCCAGTATCTATATCCAGGCACTACTCTTCTCTGGTTTTACTACAGATGAACTGAATATACATCTACTGCAGGTCAAATATTCTACCTTCTTACCAATTGAGATCATTACTCCAGAAATTCTCTTCCCTCCTGTGCCAAAATGTTTTCCTCACTGCCACATCTTTACCATCGGTATAGAAGCCTATTGTTCCTTCCATATAAAAAAGAAAAACAACTTCTCTTCCTTTCCCATTTCAGCTGCCACCCTTTATCCTTTTTTTCATTTTTTTAAAATGGAAGAAAAAATAACATTTGTATACTGATGGCAAAATACAGCAGCAAGGAAAAATTTTGATACAGGAACAGGGATGATTTGATATAGGAACACGGAAGATTTTTGAAAAACTCCTCAGAAAGTTGCCTGTACTTGCTATCTCTCATTCTCTCTAAATCCATCCCAATCATGTTATCACAACTGCACTGAAAACACGATTCATGACTATCAAAGACCCTCACCACCACCACTACCACCACCACATTGCTAATGCCTACAGTCATTTCTCATCTGACTTAACCACTCAGCAGCGCCCTAGCATTTTACTAGGGTGATTACTCCCTCCTGAAACATCATCTTCCCTTGGCTTCCACCACTACGGATTTTTATCTTAAACCCAGATATCTCTTCTAAAATCCAGACCACCAAAACTAATTCCCATCCCTACTCCACATTTCCTCTTAGATGTCTCAGTCTTGCCCCTTCCTATCCTCTGCTAATGAAAAGTACATATTTGCAGTTGCTCAGGCTCCACATTTTGGGAACCACCCTTAATTCCTCCTTTTTTCTTATGTGCCAACAAGGAGTCTGACAGTGAATCTTGTTGACTCCACTCACAAATATATCCAGAATTCAACCATCTTACTCCAAAAGCACTGCCAATGCTCTGGGCCAATACCTCCAAACTGATTTTCTTATTTATGTCCTAGTTTCCTGCAGTCAATCTGCAACACAGTAGCCTGAGTATTAAAACAAGATCACCTGTCTCTTATGCTCAAAACCCTCAAATGATTACCCAACTCTCTCAGAACAAATGCCAAAGTCCTTTTTATTATTTACCATATCCCTCATGAAGTGCACACCTCACTGTATTCCTATCATTAATCTTTTCCTGACCCAACTACACTGGACTTCTCTTTGTTCCTTACACATGCCAGGCACACTCACTTCCAGTCTCTGCCCTTGTCTGGAATGCTCTTTCCTCAGATATAACATGGGACCCCCTTCTGTCAAATAGTACCTTCTCTCAGTGAGGGCTTCTCTAGTCATACTATTTAAAAATTTCAATCTCCTTCTCCAATCATTCAAATTTTGACATTTTTCTGGGGGAAGGGTGCTCTTAAGCACTTATTTAACATAACATATATTCATTTATCTTCTAAGAATATGAAGGCAGAGATTTTTGTCCCATACCTCCAGTGCTCTAAAAAAAACAAGTAAAATGAAGGAACAACTGAATAAATCTTCAGTACTACCATAAAGGCTGTTCCCTGGTTCTCTCCTTCTAGTAAAAGTCTAAATTAAAAAAAAAGTTTTTATTTTCTTAAACAAAAGACTCAGTTGGACTGTAATATCACATTACTGATTATCCCTAGGCCATCCAAATACCATGAATCACGTAATTCATATTTAGAGAATATCCTTTCTTTCAAAAAAGCTCAAAAATCCATTCAAAAACTCTTCGTTGTGTCTTTAAAAAAAAAACTGGGTTACAAATATATCCAAAATATACTGGTAACTTTCTACATGAAAATTCTAGTTACTGCAGAAATTAATCATGTGGCACATAGCACTGAAATATAACAAGTGTTTAGCAAAAACTGCAAAATATGTTAGTGAATGAAAGGTCTTGATTGAATTGTCCATGTACTTGGTGAGCTGAATGAAGAACTGAATAAAACACACAAAGGACAAAGCAACGAAAGCACGGACTTATTGAAGCAAAAGTACACTCCACAAAGTAGGAGTGGGCTCGAGCAAGCAGTTCAAGAGTCCCATCTACAATGTTCTTTAGAGTTGTTTGTTTTTGAGTTGGTGTCTCACTCTGTCCCCCGGGCTGGAGTGCAATGGCGCAATCTCAGCTCACTGTAACTTCTGCCTCCTGGATTCAAGGGGTTCGAGCAATTCTCTACCCTCAGTCTCCTGAGTTGCTGGGATTACAGGCACCTGCCACCACGCCTGGCTAATTTTTGTATTTTTATTAGAGATGGGGTTTCGTCGTCTTGGCCAGGCTAGTCTTTAACTCCTGACCTCATAATCCCATTTGCCTTAGCCTACCAAAATGCTGGGATTACAGGCCTAAGTCACCACAACAGCCTAGGATTTTTATTAAGTTAAAAGAATTTGATAACACCCCTAGGTTCCCTTTAGAGGCCTCCAATTGGTTGCACCCTATGAAGGATGAGCATGTGACCAATGAGAGGCTGAAGTAGAGACTGGGCCCACAGCCAATCAGAGGCTGAGGTGGAGACTTCTGATTTTTGTTACCACAGGAGTGAGGATGTGGCTTATATGCTGCCTAATCTTGCCTATAACTGGCTGCACCTACTGTTCCTTTGCTTAAGCCTAATTCCCTATTCTGCCTCATTTTCCCCATGAGACATGATCCCCATAAATCTTTATGGGAGGCAGAGGCAGTGAGGATCAATTTTCTGTAGCTGCTTCTTGCTGGTTGTGGTGCCGTCCCTGCCTAGTGAGGATCAAGGCTGTCCCAGGGTTAGGTGGGCAGCCGTGGGTTGCAGAGAGCCTTGTACTTGGTTGTAAAAGGTGCAGCTGGCTTGATCCAGTTGTGACAGTTGGGTACTTTGGCCTGATTCTACATTTGGAGGAAGAGATGAAAATCATCAAAGAGAGCAGAACAAGGCCACATATTTTCAGAAGCAATCTACCAGGGGTACTTTTCTCTTCTCATGAATCCTCCTTTTCAGTGTCACATTTGTGGTCAGCACTTACAGTTCTTTTGATAGAGATTAATAGACAAGATATAGTGGAGAAAGGAAATTGCAAAAAAAAAAAAAAGGAAAATATTAAAGGAGAGGTTAATGGAAAAGATGTGTCTTGCATTAGAATAATCTGCCATAGATCCTCAAATCCTCTAGGAGAGATTAAAGAAAACTAATGCACTGAAGAAAAAATAAGTGATTGAAATAAAGATTTACAACCTACTAAAAATTAGACAATACACAAATTGGGATCATAATATGGGACTTGGTTAATAGATTCGGTAGAAATATAAATGAAGGTAATACTGTAAAAATCAGAAAAAGAAGAATGAAAATGGACAACCACTTCTATCAATGGATCAATGGAAAATGTAGGACACACTAAACGTCATAAATGGAAAACACTGAGAATTCTCAGATGACTTAATAAATAAGCAAAACTGAGTTTCAGTGCTACTTTTTAATTGGATCTAGGTCAAAGTACACAGCATCATTCCATATTGCTATGGAATGAAATGTTGTTTTTTTTTAATTGTACTTTAGGTTCTGAGGTACATGTGCAGATCACGCAGGCTTGTTGCATAGGTACATACATGTCAATGTCGTTTACTGCCTCCATTCACCCCATCATCTATATCTGGCATTTCTCCCCATGTTATCCCTCCCCAATCTCGCCAACTCCTGCTACCCCTAGATGTCCCCCCCCCAACAGACCCCAGTGTGTGACACTCCCCTCCCCGTGTCCATGTGTTCTCATTGTTCAACTTCCACCTATGAGTGAGAACATGCAGTGTTTGATTTTCTGTTCTTGTGTCAGTTTGCTGAGAATGATGGTTTCCAGATTCATCCATGTCCCTACAAAGGACATGAACATATCCTTTTTTATGGCTGCAAGTATTCCATGGTGTATTCGTGCCACATTTTCCTTGTCCAGTCTATCACCCATGGGTATTTGGGTTGGTTCAGGTCTTTGC